AAACGAACTGCTCTAACAGCCACTGCCTCAAGGGATCTTTGTAGCGGTAGACGTGTACATGCTACGCCCTGATCAACTATAATGGCCACACCACCAGATGACGCTACAGCGTCATTGCGGCCCTTTCTGAATATTACATAATGACGTAGAAAATTGGTGTTTTTGGAATTTAAGTGTGTCCCTTGTAGACACGGCACTTTTGGGGAATGTTTGTGTAAGAGTTCCTGGATATCGTCAAGGTTTCTAAGCAGCTCTCTGACGTTCTATTGTATTATTTGTGTATCCATTTTGATTGTAAATGAGTGCTGTTTGTACTGAAGAAGTATTGCGTCAAGTCAAGAAGCCTTGTCAGGCCCCGTTATGATGGTTTTTGATTTTCTGGCGCGCTCCAAGGAGCCGCGCCTGTCCTTCGGTGCGGAAGACACCGTTGGGCTTGCTATTGTGTCCATCACCTCGGAAGAGGTGCTGGATGCCTGCTCGCGGTTTACGCGTGAAGGCACGGAGGTCTTAGGGCTATCTGTGGAGACAGAAGGCCCTGGGGCTTCAGGTCCGGAGGCCAGCAAGCCTTTTGGTGGCGGAAGAGCCTGTGCTACTTCCGCTGAGGAGGTGAATGGCGCTGCCGCTCGTCCACTTTGTGTGGTACGTGCGGGCGTAGCGTATTTTGGTGGCACTGCCTCTTTCGTGCCACCTACGCGAACGAAGGTCCCTGCATTAGTAGAGGCTTGCGCGCCTCCCTAAACGAGATGTTTTCATTTACTTTCAGTGTGAGTACTTCTTATTTCATATTTCCGTGTAGGGCATGTGCGAGAGTAAGCGGGGTGTCCACCATCGTATTTCACGCAGTGTAAAGTGGTTTCTTCACAATTGTCTGTGGCATGTTCGTGCAAACTACACTTTGCACAGGTTTGACGGCCGCGGAAGCTCTGAGAACCGTGGTCGAATCACTGGCACTTAGGACAACGTCGGAGGTTGGGGATGTAGGCTCGGACCTTTAACTTCAAGTAGCCTGTTTCGATATATTCTGGAAGTGTGCTTGTGCAAAATGTAAGAATGAGGTGCTTTGTAGGGGTTTCTTTGTCATCACACCTAATATTAATTCTCTGTACATGCGTTACATGCTGTTCGTTCCAGCCCTCAAGTAGCTCACTCTCTGTCAGGGTAATTAGGTCTTGATCAGACACTACGCCTCGGGAACTGTTCAGGGAGTGGTGTGGTGAGATAGATACAGGAGTTGTTCCAAACAAGGTGAGTTTTGTCAGGTTTTCATACTGAGTCTTCGTTTAGACTTCAAGAAGAAGGTCCCCGCTAGCCATACGTGTAGCCTGATATCCGTGTATTGGGGAGGTATTTAGAAACGACAAACAGAGAAATGGTTATTGCGTTCTTTTCTTGCGTTTCACAGTGGATCACATGGAAGCGCGGGAAAATTTCTTTCGGCTTTATGAATACATTCAGTGTTGCTTCGGTGCGCCCCCTCTTATGAGGAGGGCGATCAGACAGTTTAGTAAATGAAAAAGAGTCCATAAAGTACGTATAAATTCGGCAGCCATGCCAGACGCCCACCATCGAGCCCAACATAGGGACGCGGCTGCACAGGGCATGCCAGCGCCAGCTGTACAAAGCCACTATAAACCAATAGTATGTGACCACGAAAGGGCACATACACAAGGTTAACCCTTGCTGCCTGGAAGATGGAAGTAACCAGAAGTGAGGAAATGACAGGATATTTTGGGAGAGAGAAAGGACGAAGTTCAGGAGGAAGCGACAGACAGGAAAAGGCGATTGCCGAATTCCCCTGGGTGGGTCAGCTCAAGGGTGCCGTCTACGTGAAGGCGGGGCGAAAGGGGTGTGTTGTCTGTGCCGTGGGGCCTTAAAGGTCCAAACACTCGGCGTCGGCACAACCCCCAGGATCTCCTTTTCTCCAGACACGGCAAAGCCACGCACGGCTAGGCGTGAGAGCGAGCCAAACTGCCCCGTTAGCTTGGGTCGGTGGTGTCGCTACACACCAAACGCATGCTTACGTAGACGCCCCTGCGGAGAGAAAAAGCTCCAGCAGGACAATGAATTTGCAATGAATGCAATGAATTTGCAATGAATGCAATGAATTTATGGTCATCGATTAGCTTTGTAAGTGTTGACGAAATGTTTTGTTTAACCAGAACAACAACACCACCTCTTTTTGAATTTCTGTCCAAACGAAATACTTGGTACGAAGGCGAAAAAATACTGTTGTCGTGAACTTCACTTCGAAGCCAAGATTCTGTGATCACAACAACATAAGGACTGTATCGCAATATTATGGCTTCAAGATGATCACTTTTGTTCACAATGTTGCGCACATTGATATTTAAGAAGCGCAGTTACTCAAGGCGAGAAGGTATCTGTCAATCTTTGGAGGAAACTTTTCGTCAGGTAACCAGTTCTACCCTAGAATCTGTGGCGTCATCCCATACGTTTAGTTTTTTATCTATTCGCAGTTTATCATGCAGAAGAACGACTTTTTGCCCTGTTGTTTTTACTGTTTGGCACTTTGCCATAAAAACTTGCGTTTCTTTAGAGTGCCCACCTGATAGTCATTTTGAATGGAAATTTTGGTCCCTTTATCTTTCGTGCATTTTCAAGAACTTCGTGTTTTTCGTTGTACTTTTGAAAGGATACAATTACTAGCCTCCTTTTACCTGGTTTCCCAATGCGGCGTATACTAACGACAGAGCTGCATATAAAGTTTAGCTTATCCCAAAAAAACGTTGTCAATTACTTCAGCGCTAAGAGTTGTCTCACTTCCAGTGCTGCCTTCCTGAATGTGAAAAAAAGCATGTTGAACGCCTGCTCCTATCTTCAATGTCATCTACCTTCGCTTGAAGTGATTTGACCGCCTGTTCTAGACCATCCACTCGAGCGAAATGCGTTCCAAATTCGGTAAAACGCTTGTTAAGGTCTGAAGTTATTTTTCCATGTTGGACTGCTGATCTTTCAAAGTGGCTATCTTTGTGACCAACTTATTTTGGCCTTCTAGAAGTTTGGTCAATAAGGCTTCAGTATTGGGCCCAAGGTTGACTTCAATATCCCCGCACAACAAAAGTTTGCATGCACAAAAAAAACATGGCAAAACATTTGATGACACTGGCATGGGCATGGCAGAACCAGGAGGCCGCGATAGTAACTTTTGATTGAGCTATAATAAACACTAACCTGCATAACGCAGACGAAAGATTTAGTAGGCAACATCGGTCCGCCACACCCACTGAAGTTGAAGCAATGCGGCATGGCCCTTATAGAAGTGTCCGTTTAAGTCACGTGGTATGGCGGTTTGATAACGTGAAGCCAGAAGCACTGACGATACGGTGCAGTGTGTACTGTTGGATCCACGCTTGCATCGGGTTGAGTCCCGTCCATCTGAATCCCGACCGGCTGAATAGCGGCCAACTGTGCCTGTAGAACCTGCATAACGCAGACGAACGACTTAGTAGGCAACATCGCAAGCTCTGGTCCGCCACACCCACTTGATCCTGTAGATAGCCTTGTGGTTCTTCATTCGAGTATCTCAGAGGGACATCTTGTATTTTTTCATAGTTGGCCGTGTACGAGTACAGAACACGAGCTTCTACAGCTACGACAGCCAGTTCAGTCACAGCGAGCAAACGGTTTGCAGCGGGCAGGGTTAGCACTGTAACCACCAAGCTTCCATCCTTGTTGAGGCGATGGTTTAGAACTTTCTCTTGAGCCGACGTTACATCCGCTGGTGCCACAATGTTAGGGTTGACCTTTCATAAGCTTCCTTTTTCCACGGTTGGTCGAAAGACGACAGGAACGCCAGTACCTCTTTCTTTCTTGCAGGACACAACTGTGAAGGGCGCTTAGTTCATACCCTCTCCATTTTCCTCTGAAGGATCAGAGCTGTCCTGCTAATCGCTCCGTTGCTTGTTTACAGGAACATGGTCTGTAGTTCCTTCTACAGAGGCTGCAGGAGTAGTACCTGCCACTACCGCCATAGATGCGGCATCGAGTACATTTGGCGGTGATGTTCCGTGTCTTGGTGGGTACGGCGCAGCGCGCCTAGAAGTCTGCTTCACGTGTTTCCCTGGATGGACGGAGCCTCCATCCCGTTAAGGGTGGAGTACGAAGCCCAGGAGAGCCATAGAGACTGTGACACTGAGAAGAATATTGAAAAATTGTGAGCTGACTTAGCAGAGCCGATGCATTAGAACTTCTTCGTTCCCCTTTCTTCACTCAAGAAAGTAGTCCCGGCCTCCTCCTTGTGTCCTTGTTTGCATGCCCTGTCTTGTAGTATAAATTAGTTCAGCTTCTTGTTCTTAACAGCCCCGCCGCGGTGGTCTAGTGGCTAAGGCACTCGGCTGCTGACCCGCAGGTCGCGGGTTCAAATCCCGGCTGCGGCGGCTGCATTTCCGATAGAGGCGGAAATGTTGTAGGCCCGTGTGCTCAGATTTGGGTGCACGTTAAAGAACCCCAGGTGGTCGAAATTTCCGGAGCCCTCCACTACGGCGTCTCTCATAATCATATAGTGGTTTTGGGACGTTAAACCCCACATATCAATCAATTATCTTGTTCTTAACAGCTTGTGCTCTTAAACATGCCACGACCTGCAGGTCAGCAGTCCAATACAACTACCACTAGAGCATCGCGGAAGGTGGTTTTGTAGAGGCTCGATGTCCAGAGTGGCCTCAACGGTTTCGCAGGAAGGCACAAAAAGAAAGCTGTTGTTGTATTGCTACTACAAGGAATAAAAAATGTACCCAGGCAGCCTTTATACAGGTTTGAGCAAGGAATGTAACAAGCTATCATAAACGAAAATTCATATGACTCTGCACTTTAAATGCCATAAAACGAAATTGGCTTCCTCGCACTGCATATGTAAACTTGTTTAGAAGGCCCATTCAACAAAAGGCTCAGGTTAAAGCAAAGTGCCTTACCTTGGCAACATCATCTCATTAGTTTACCTAAATGGCTAAGGCAATGCAATTATTTTCTTTCCGTTTCAGAAAACGCTGCCTACGGTGTGCGTGTGAACACAATTTGGTAAGAAAATATTTCTTTTTGCTCTGCAATTCGTCTTATTCCCGACGCCATGTCGCATGCGGCTTTCTTCTAAGAGAAAAATTGCCAAATATACGTTCATCATGAAGACTTTAGTTTTTACAGTACTGGCTGTCCCGGATCCTCCGAAAACGGCAGAGGGCAGCACATGAACATGCAAAATACAGACCGAATTAAATCCTCTCCTGATTCAAGATACTATGACAGACACTGTACACAACTACAGCTTGCCTGTAAACTATTACGTGCACACTCTCGTGTAGTAGACGGATGAAATTGGGCTCATTTGTTAACTACCTGAATAACTTGCTAAAATCCGCTTGCTCGCTTTTTGGCGGCAATCATTCTGTGAGGCATTCAAATGTGGCCTGAATTACGTTTAGTATTTGCATTCACCCTGATCGCAATTTCACCTCACAGATTCCCACAAATGAAAGCATGGCATGAGAGCAGGAATAGTGTCCATTGTATAGGCACGCTGCGCGTAAGCGCTTCAATAAGCTAAGTTCTACAAATTACGCTACCACGATAAGACGTACGGCGGCTCTTTGTACTCAATTAAGCTGGCATTCAGGTCCTGCACACACTTTAGGAAGAAGAGGCATTTGTGAACGACGCTTTCAAAAGTGACGCATTGTTAGCGCACCAAGCCGTAACAAAAGTTCAGGCCTTACTTGGAATAAGGTAATATTAGGAAAATATGTTCGACCACCAGGAGCAAGGAAAGGTGTCCACCTTTTAGAGGTTCTTGGTTTCAATGCAGATGGAATTAAGAACAAGGCAGCAGTAGGGATAACTAAACGTTTGTGCAACATTGGTGGATGCAACCAATATATCAAAAGAACCAGATTTTCTACATTCGTAATCGAGCAATAGAAATTGAGGCAATCGGAAAAACGTACGAAACACTCAACCGATAAAAAAGTTCCTCACTGCCACGTTGTGATTCTGTGACAGATAAAATAACATGTATACTACAACGCAGCCTTCTAGTGGCTATGCTTCTCTGCCCTTTATTCAGGAAAATGCGAACAAAAGTATAATCTTACTAAAATTGCAATCTAGTTGGCCTTCAAGTTTATCGCCTGTAAAAATTACATATATTGACAAAACTTTTGAGGAACTTTCAAATGTCTAGCAACTCTTCGAATAGATTTTTCTTTATTTATTTTTATGTGTTTGTTTGTCATGTTCACCCAGAGGAAATATTAAAAGAACAGCTGCCAACTTCCTCATAGATAGTCACAACGCCAGCCTGCTCCTTCGGGAAGGGGAGGCATACTGGAAAGGAAGGAAGGAGAGAAGGAAAGGAGATGGAAGGCGGAAATACAAACAAAGTATATAACAAAGATGTAAAATCGCATGAAGTAGTCACATGAAAAATGTCTATAAACACGAGGCCCAATCAGCTTTCTTTAAAAAAAGTAAGCGGGGTTCGATAGGCCTTGTCGCAACTACTAGCACATGCTCTCGGGAACAGACAATTGTCAGGGTTCGTGCACCGAAGTCCAATTAGTCTATGATCCTTCGTGAGCAGTCTTCGCTGCGTAACGACTGTAGGACACTAAAATATGTGTTCTAAGTGTCTCACAGGAGCCACACGAGGTACATAACGGACTATGCGCATGTCGTTGAAAATATATTGTTCGCGCACTGATTCGGCAATCGTCACCATCAGTCTGACTACGCCCACTGCAAGACAAAGACCTCTCCTCTGTTTTAGCTAATAAACCCAGTCCTGCGCGTTCTGCCCCCAGGGTCACGATCTCCCTCTGACACGTTGGTCTTCGCTCCGGATGCAGTGACATGAAGAACCTGACACGAAGAACTAACTCATAGCTCAAATAACAGGACTCTGTCACGACGGCGCAATCCACGGCCTCGAGGACGAGGAGGGTATACAGTCGTCCTGCGACACGCTGATCGGGGTGCGGCTTTAGATGTGGGCGTATGAGCAGGCGAGCGTTGTCAAACCATAACTGCTTGCTCTACTCGACTCAATTTCGTAACTTGTTGACATCGTGTGGAATTCAGTCAAGTAGAGCAAAGTAATTAGAAACAACTTCATGTTTTATTCTACCTACTAACAGTAACTTGTTCAAAAGAGCTTTTAGGACAGGTGTTGCTATGCTCGCCTTCACGACTATCAGAAAAAATGACATGTGTTACGATATACCTACTTACACGGGTATTCGTTGTTTTTGTTTGCAGCCCGGGTTTTGTGAAGACGACGTTGATGATGAAACCTGGTGCCAGCGTAGAGGAACACATGGAGGTAAACACTGCAAATATTATAACAAACTAGCGACCAGCTTCTTCAAGAGTAACTTATTGAATATTTCCTTTCCAGCGATTACCATCATCTACCATTTCCATGGATTGATTATTGATATGTGAAGTTTAACGTCACAAAACCACCATATGATTATAAGAGACGCCGTAGTGGAGGGCTCCAGAAATTTCGACCACCTGGGGTTCTTTAACTTTCACCCAAATCTGAGCACATGGGCCTACAACATTTTCGCCTCCATCGGAAATGCAGCCGCCACAGCCTGGATTCAAATCCGCGACGTGCGGGTCGGCCATATCAATAGAGGGCTTTCCATCATAACAGTGGTTATTGTAGGGGACATGGTGAAGGGTAGGTGGGCTCTGTGTAGCTCCTTGAACCCACAATAATAAGTGCTGAAACCAACGCCAGCCCCCGCCCTTATTTTATACAGCCATTAGGAAAGCGATGCGTCTGGGGGTAAGTGACTAGCCTGAAAGGGTGCCGAAAGAGGGCAACTCCTCACAACAACATTTGCGCATGGAACGCGTATTTTAGGGCTAGAAGGTACCCCTACTCTGTACTTCCGCTCATGATAGCTTCTCTATTTCAATCCCGCGTCAGGGTAGGTAACAGGACGGATAGCTGGAATAGAGATACACTATCACACCACCTTGCCTCCAGCATGGCGGTCTTCACCATGTCGCCTGCAATGTACGCCATTATAGTGGAAGAAATCGTTCCTTATGGTCGAATACGCAGAATATATGATGAATAAAGTTTTAACAGGGCTGTCGTATCTATTGTGTGCCATAATCTGAAGTAATTGAGCTAAACGTTTATTACCAAAAATGTATTCTTCACCTTAAACTCAATTCTTTGCGTTATTAGGTCTAGAGGCGGGCTCCACATGAGTTATAAACATCTTTGACAAAGTTTTTAAATAACTGTGTTTATTGTTTCGTGATTGTAGTTTAACTTGTAGTTTGTGCCCCTATCCCAGATACTCAATGCGTGTACGTGTAGCGCTGATAAACTTGATTGCGAATTTGCAATGGCATACAATTCTCTCGTTGGGTAGTGTGCTGTTATGACACCAAAAAGCGCAGGTGACTGGATAATACTGAATGTTTTTTTTTTTCTATCCGTGGACCTGAACGTTGATCGTCAAAGATGTTGATGACATCGCTGTCGTGCAACATTCACTGATGCCCCCGCAGCGTCATTGTGAAAAAGAAGTGGTAATTAATTTTTACGATACATTGAAACAGTGTGAACAAACTACGCAGGTGCGCTCTTATTACTCACATACTCTTTTCACTTACTACCGTAGCTTCGCTTGCGTAACCTTTTTGATAACAAGCGTAACAATAATTTGGATAACGACATGCAGCCAGCAACGCTGCGAAATTATGTGGGTGTAACGAATAGTCTCAATGACACGAGATGAGTTTTTTTTTTTTTTTAGTTTGGCTTAGAGTTAATCTCGCAGCTCCCATACAAGTTAACGTCTGACGCGACCGCGCACACGGATGGCGACAGCGTGACAGCCACCAGCGCTGGCGCCCAGAATAATAGCTTCTAGACTGTGTGTAACTGTAAATTGCTTATCCCGCGGCTTACGACGACGTTATTCTTATATTATAATACGTTAAACATATCGCAATAAGCCAATAAAAACCTGTATTGCCAGCAACGCCAACGAAACGGTGGTCATGGCCGACCCTGTGCAGTATGTGTTCTTTCGATATACAGATGGCGTTATCGTACAAAACCCGTCACTACCCTAAAGCGAAGAACGCACTAGAGTACAAGCGTTTATGATTTTGTTGGACTTCTAGAGGCTTTTTTTAACGATGAAGTATGATCGACGACCTGCAGCTTAAGCAAAGATTTCATTCGTAGACTCCGAGCGCCGACGGCATTCACTTCATGGTAGACACAGCCCTACTCGATAGAGCAGAGGCCTCAAACTTACCTCAACTAGCGTACTGCAGTACAGAAAATGTTCTTTTGCGAGGGTCAGGAAAGTGAAGGCAGGAAGAGGCATGAGGAGGGAGCGTGATTTTTCAATGTGTGGGGTTTAACGTCCCAAAATGACAATATGATTATGAGAGATGCCATAGGGGAGGGCTCCAGAAATTTAAACCACCTGGGGTTCCTTAACGTGCACACGGGCACACAGAATCTGAGCACGCGGGTCTACAGAGTTTTCGCCTCCATCAAAAATGCTGCCGCCACATCCGGGATTTAATCCCGCGACCTGCGGGTCAGCAGCCGAATACCTTAGCCACTAGATCAGCGTGGCGGGGCACGACGGGAGGGGGTGTTGTTTGCAGAAATTATGATCAAAATCCCGAAACATATGGAGCGTTTTTTCGGCATTTCGACGGCATTTGTTACGCCGGCGTCACTCGGTGCCGACGCTGCCGGTGAAGGTGGCTGAAACGTCCGCTTGTGGAAGAATGGGATATCTGCAGCGTCTGTGCCGACGCCGGAAGCGAGTCGATGAATTGAAAACCAATCAGCGCACGGCTGCCAGCAGCTTCCCCCACGTAACAGCAGCCTTGCTGCTGTTAAAATTGCTGCCACCCACCTCGGATGTATTAAGCACGAGCTCCTCTATAAACTCAAGACCTGCTTATGCCACCACTCCCCATGTCGCCAGGGTTGCTTTTGCTTGTTTAGTTTCTTTTAATTCTCAAATGTGCCGCAGCCCGCCATGGCGCCACAACTATAGCTCTCATCGCTGCAGCCGCCAAAGAGCTTTCCTGCGTGCTGCGTGCGTGCGTTGACTCGTTTTTGTGCCATTTGAAGGTTAGCGTTTGCCAGGAGATTCGTTCAGGACTCGGAAGCGTTAGGGTGCGTCATTACCATAATAGTGTACTGCTGCGTTCCATTCTGCAAGTCGAGCAGCCGGCGGTCCACTGGGATATCCTTTCACAAGTTTCCCGTCACTTAGATTGGACAGCGTCAATGCTCAAAGCATGTGGAATAGAACAGGGACAGTTCAAAGTGATTTAACCAGTTAGAACACATAGTTTAGACTTATACTTGCGTTTCTAGAAAACACTATTCTCTTTACGTAAATTGAGCACGACAAAAGATGTTAATGCGCTGTATTTTGTTGCTACAGTGAAAAAAGCTTGGTGACATCACCGTTGAGACACACTCGGAAACGCCAGTGGCGTTCGAACAGTGGCAATAACTGCAACGAACTGCTGCAGGTGCGAGAAATCACTGTAACAACATTGTGGTAATCCGCCGGTCTTATCGCGCGCTTCCATCGATCATAGACGTTCACCAGACGATAGCACGACTACTCCCTTCTACGTGTACTCTAAATTGTTAAACATTTTTTCTAAACACACAATACACGCGAACAATTTCCTCTGGCTGCGCACAGGACGGCTTCGTGCTCTCCCTTAGTAGAGTACCTAGTACTCCAAGTCGTTAACCACTTTTTCTAAATACACGTGTACAGTATCATTGAAGGACGATATGCAGGGCATGAAAACTTACACGGGTCATCGCATGCGTTGTTAGTACTGTATGTGCCTTTATTTGCGTCGCAGAAACACTGATTTCAGATTTCAACTCGTTACGAAATCGCAGTCTTGCCCACGAATGAATCATTTCAGCACCTTCGAGACAGCGGTTAGGTGGGCGCACTGTGCAAAACAAATGGGTAGTTTGTCGCATATTGTTCGCGTTCTCCTGCGCTTAGACGGGGACACAACAGCGCTCACGCAGATTGAGTTCCTGTAATGAACATCCGGGAGCCAACCACCATGTTGCTTCTCACAACCAGAATGTTGCTTCGATTTGTTAAATCCATGGATTGCTTGATCGATGCGTTATAAATGGGATAAAAAATGCAGAAACGCACACAAACAAGTGCACCACTACGGCCGTGTTTCGTCTGCTATGAGGCTAAGTTCTCGCGGCACCTCGCGGTATCTCCGGTCCCTACGCGCCAATTTTTGGGATCACACGCTTCCGTAGCGGTGGAACTGGTGAGCAGGTCGTAAGTTTATAGAGAAGGTCATGGTATTAGGTCATCGTTGTGCGATGTGTGACCAAAAAACTTTCAACTGATGCTTGTATTTGACTTAGTTTCTTCCTCAGAAGCTTCGACAGGAAGCCGTGGGGGTTTCTTCAAAGCATTTTTGAGCGCCATACTCAAGTTCGTCGGTAGAGTTAGCACGCCTGAATGTATTGGCTGCATACGTGGCCTCAAAGATGCACAACAACCTCCAAGCTCAGAGACCGTATATATAGAGTTTCTCGTTCTTCTTATTTTCACCTGGCGCTAGAAGAAAAAAGAACTTTACGTGGTATTGGGATTTGTTTTTCGCACTTCAGAACTGCAAATAAGACATAAAACCGATTGTCAGGATTATTTATTGTTGCTCCATGGTCTGACACTGCACACTGCTTTGCCAGGTCTCGGGTTCATTCTCTTCAACACACTTTGCAACGCTGAGCTAATGCTCTCCCTGGCGTTCCTCACATGGTTTGCCACCCTCTCCGGCGGAGTTTACGCGATGACGCCGAGGGAAGCAGCACCGGAAAAACGCTGGCAAAAACGCTGCATATGTTTTGGGACTAACGTTGCCATTCGAAAGGCCCAGCTTAAACACTATATTAGTGTCATTTCTGGAGGCCAGGGTTCCAGCAACTTATCAATACCGCTGTCAGTCCACAATGTGATGGAAATCTAGACTTCTATATTGACTTCTTTCTGTTCCATGGCTATGAATAAAAGCATGATGTCCACTGGAGTGCCTTAAAAACAATGCTCAACCATACCTGTAGCTCACGAACAGTACTTATAATTGACATAAGCATGTTTTGTACGAACTGTCATGTTCGGGCCACGAACCGCATGCTTGAGACCCCTGAAATACAGATTGCCCCACTGTAGCACTCATCTTCTGTAAGCACTCAACTTTAAGGCTAAGTAGTGCGAAAGATGTTTAAAGAGCTCTACGATCTGAAAGGCATAAGACAACAAAGTCACTACCTTTTTAATGTGTTCCATTCAATCCTCGTTTGTGTTATCCAGTAACTTCTAAATCACTTCATTGTTCTGGCTTTCTTTATTCTAAGTTAGGCCTTCAGTTCAAGATGACGGCAGTGCTCAGCATGAATTATCCTATTCTCCTCTCTGCGAATTTTTTTTTTACAGTCACTCCCAGTCTACCTTCCACATTCTGGTGCCGAGACTGCCCACTGGTTCATTTATTGAATCACCCGTTTTACTAAGCTTCATAATGTGGCTCCCGTTTTCTCTCATCAGGCCCCCTTATTGCGGACTGCTTACGTGACCTCCTTGATGGGTAAAGGCCAACGGTGCCGACTGAACAGGGTCTTCATATACAGCTTGTCGGTGGAATCATGAAACTTGGATGACCAGGCGCAAACTGCTGGCTTTTTAATCTTGTCAGTATGTGATGTACATACGCGTGGACAAGGGAAGGTGGGCGTGATTTCAACGTGTGCGATGGCGCTAAACAACGATGAAGCCCATTTTGGTTTCCTTGCAATCATTAGAGCTGGGGCTTACACGGGCCGACGAGGAGAAAGAAGGAAAGGGAGGTTAGCCAGTTCTCCGGCCGGATACCGACCCTGTGTTGAGATAGGGGGTGAGGTTACTAAAGGATGACAAAAGAGAGATGTTGCAAAATAGAGAAAAAGAAAACAAAAACAATAAGAGAACAGCAATAGGATAAACGACACTGCTTAGAGCCCCTCTCTGAGGCCAGTTGTCGCATGAAGCGTAAGAATGCCCCCAATGCATTGCGCGCCGTGGACAATATCGGCCAGTGTCCGAAGACTTTTTTCTCTAACATTAGGCGATTTTGAAGTCTTTTTTTTCCGCAATACGCAATAAAATGTGCAAAGCAACGACCTCCACCGTAGCTAAACTGACATTGCTTCAGATGTGTTATCCGAATGTTGTAGGTCTCACCCCTTTTCGTCCACTTCATTGCCTTATCATTTATGTGATAAATGCTCTATTGCAGTTTAAAAACTACAAAATAAATGTAACCTATGCCTTCCTTGGCGTCACTGTTTGTTGGTTTCATTACGGTGTTCTAACAAACGCACGAGCCCCTGATCCATTGCGTTTATTTTGTCCATATGCCAAATGTAACAGAGCATACACACTGCATGACTGGTCAGAGAGAATGTACGTGGTGGTGAATCGCTTCATCAGCTGCTGATTTTATATAGTGGCTTTATCTTGCAGCTTCAGAGTTTCACTTCCAACTTTGTTATGCGTGTCTGTTTGCGCTACATAGAAAAAGTTTAGGATTAATACCTTATGCTGCACGAAATATTGTGCGTTTGGTTATTTCATGGATATCTTTCCAGTAGAAGGTTACGTGTTTGCAGAAACTCGAGAAAGCAGCCGGTCCTGCTCACGCGATGGGACGAGTTGGCACACCGGAAGAGGTGGCACGCTGCATCGCCTTCCTGGCGTCTGACGATGCCTCCTTCATGACGGGTGCTACACTTGCCGTCGATGGAGGCCTGCTCCTTTTGTCCAGCACCTCGAGTTTAGCCTTACCTTGATAGAACCAGAAGCCAACATGTGCTGCCAACATGCAGCCACGGCCGCCCGCAACCACGTACACCCATGGTTTTCTAGCACAGAATCCTCAGACGTCTTCTTAGCACACCGGCTGTTCCTGACTGTCTTCGCCTGATATTTTTATTTTGTTTTCTTGGTCAGTATGAACGACAAAGATGTACCTGGCTTCAAACATTCTCTATTCGTAAGGTGACCATGCAGTTACCAAATGCTGAACACAACTAATATTTTCGTGGCTATACGGCCCACCAGCTGAGGTTAGCGCGAGACGCCTGCGTCACATTATTAACTAGCAAAATACAACCATGTCTATCTACTTTTCCAGGTCTTTTCTTTAATATTAGTGACATTCCTAAAGACTTGCACTTCACCATGAAATATATTTTCTCTCCTTAGCACTAAACTGCAGGAAAAGGGTAGTGTTCGTTCAGTTGATGTTTCTTGTATAATTCATTTGAATATTGTATGAGTACCTACTTTTTCATAAGCTTATATTTTTGAAGACTGGATCTGTAATAAAAAGGTTTTTAGTCTGCTTCTTTTTACACTTTTTCTTGTGACCATGTTACTACATGAATAGTAATGGTTGAAGTGGGCTCGATACCTACGGTTCTATGTTTGAAAACTATTCTGCTGGCATGATGCAAAATTTATGTCAATATTAGCGTTAGCAAGCAAATAAATCAGTAACTTTATCCCCACAGCCTAATCACAGGCTCTTAAGTTTTGCTTTGTAAGGGTTCTGCTGTCGTATGCTGACATCGCATGTGATCACTTGGCATCACGCAGACTAGACGATGTATATATAGAGAACGTACCCTACATATAAACGCAGAGGATTTGGCTCATGTATGCAAGTTACTGACTTTACTGTACGTGAGGAAGGCAAGCCGTGATAGGAATGTAGGGACCCCGAAGGGCGTCTGCGCTAGCAGGCGTTTCGTGCGTAGCGACACTACGGACCCGAGCAGCGCCTCCTCTTATTTTTTCTTTTTTTTTTTTTGTCATTGCCCGGGCGAACGCTCTCTTCAGGCCGTCGAGCGCGCGCTCCGCCTCCGCTCGCTGATGCCACATGGTGGCGCGGCGCGAGTAACTACAGGGTGCTGCCGCTGAACGGCCACGCGCATTAGGAAGCTCGCGAATTCATGTTTTCAAGAGAGTTAATTAGCAGTCGTGCATCTTCACGGCTTTCAATGCAGGGAGCATGAAAAGTAACACGAACATAGCGGCGTGCTGTTTTCAACGGGCTCTGTCAGGCCGTCCTACAGGTTCGATATATGCGTTGGAGTTTTATAGCATTGGTGTTCTATCTGCTCTTTCAAGCCATTGCAACCTCATTATTTGCATGCCTCAGTATATATAACTGTTGTGTGCCACTCTGCATATCTGACGGAAAGAAATCAGACTCTTTTTTTTTCATTTCTCATTAGTTGCAAAAGAAAAAAGAGCTCGCCGGCCCCTCGTGGATTCATTTGAGACGACTGAAAGGCCAAAACTATCCTAGTTTTCTTCTTATTAAATGCACTGAATGTTTTCTACTTCCCTCCGGTGTCTTTCTGCGCCCAATATGGTTTTCTTACTGCCTCAACGATGGGAGACAAAGCTAGCTTTCTGCCCCTCAGCTGGTTAGGCACTGCCCCCATGACCGGCCCATTTACGCCAAATAAAGATGTTATATGACGCCGTCAAGTTATGTGGCCTTCATATACGTCACAAACATTTATGGTATGTGAGGTCATATGATGACGTTTTCACGTAATGATTTCTTGCATCGCTTGTTATCAGGCCGCCGATGCGAGAAGACGCTGGACGCCGCCAGCGATCAATTTTCGCTTTTGATGAGTCATTTAAAGCTATCGCCTTAATGCACAGTACGGCTGTAGCTTCATGAAATTGCAGCTTCTGATGGTGTTCGGGGAAGCGGGCTTGCAGTTATCAGGCAGAACAGTTGGTCTCCTAATGAATCTTTCTACTGCGCTCTAATATGTCGCTGTCATTTACAACCCGAGTATTTTATAGATTATTAGTAGTGGTGGCTGAAGACTACACGTCCATTTTGGCAACATTGCAACTAGTATCACTAAATGGGAGAGCGTTGCACCCGAACAGTCAACAAATGAGTCTCTCACTAACAACACTGGCTCGAAACCACTGCCGTGTGCAACTCTAACATTGCGCCTTGAAGGCCTATGGGCACCACACAGCCATTCGGTCTCTACTCGGCTCGCTATCAAACTAAGAGGCCAGAGGGAAGGAGAAAGAAACAAAGCTGAGCAGCCGGATAATAACGCTACAACAATCTCTCCACGAATACACAGACAGGCTCAGGCAACTGACCATAGGCCACATTTTTCCTGCCTGTCACCTTGGCTCAAGTTGAGACTCGGCTTTAGCCTTCAATCTTTAACAGCACCTCTTCAAAACAGGAAATAATAGTAGAAATTGTACCGCATATAAAGCTGTTCTTGTTTATTTCACGATGATTTCATTGTTTAAGCTCTGAAATGGTAAAAGCACCTGCCATAGTTCCTCAATTTCTGACACTTGCTTTTTCTCGGTGGCAACACATTTAATGCTTTCCGAAGGGAACTGATGATTACCTATATCCCTGGAAGCTGTCTAGTGGCATTTTGTGCTCTTTAGCGCATGAACTCCAGGCTTGCGTGTAATGTGCTACGCCAGCAGAGAGTAGCAAGCATCGGGAAACATTAGACACCAAAGCTTTTAGTATTAGCTCCTGGCAAGGGCTTCTATCAAAAATGGACTTTCAGTTAGCCAAAAAAGCAACTCTCACTCAAGCGAATGCCACGGTGACAAAATCACCTTTCGCGGATTACTGGCATTAACTATCTGGTATCGACCTAGCAGACGACGCGCGAGCGCCTCAATCAAGTAGTCGCAAACGACTCGTGCCTTTGAAATGAGCTAGGTGTCCATAACAACAAGGGCTTCACGATTCTCGTTTCGAAGTTTCCATTAGGTCTTAAACAATGCGAATACAGCAGAAAACCGAGCTGTGTAGCAGCTTCGAATGCAGCCACGGCATTCGTTTGCGCAAGAGAGGACGCGGTTAGAGTGTACTAGAAGTGTACTGTAAGGGCCGTTCCACGCGCTTCCCACACAGCCGCAACGCTCGGGCCGAGACCCCTACCGCACGCAAGCGGGAGACAAATAAGCCAATTGGCGACGCTGCGGATGGTGAAAGAGCGTCGCCAATTGGCCTATTTGTCCCCCGCTTGCGTGCGGTAAGGGTCCCGGCACGTGCGTTGTGGCTGTGCGGTAAGTGTGTGGAACAGCCCTGGCGCGGTGGCATCTCTACTCCAGTTGCGGCGCCTGGCGGCAAACTGCCACACTAGCACCGATGGCTGCTTCCCATTGAAATCCGCTCCTACGCCCGGGCACTGAAAAAATAGAGGAGGCGCTGACCCGAGCTAACGGAGGGGGGGGGGGTAGGGTTCGACACCTTCCTACGCCTAGCCGTGCGTGGCTGAGCCATGTACGGGGAAAAGAAGGTCCTGGGGCTCAAGCCGACCCCGTGTGATTGAACCTTCAAGGCCTCCGGCAGAGGCAACACACCCCTTTCGCCCCAGCTTCACGTAGACGGCATCCCTGGGCTGACCCGCCCAGGGGAAATCAGCAGTCACCTTTTCCTGTATCTCTCCCCTGATCATCGTCTTTTTCTCTCTTTCAATCTTTTCTGTCATCTCCTCACTTCTGTTTACTTCCATCTTACAGACAGCGAACGTTAACCTTTTGTGTGTGTCCTCTCTTGGTCGCGTAATATTGAGTTATAATGGCTTTGTACAGCTGGTGCTGCATGCCTTTCTATAATTGTGTTGCTGCGTTCCCATGTTGGGCTCCGTGGTGTTAGGCTCCGGCTCGCATGGCTGCCGAATTTATATATGCTTTATGGCCTCTTTTCTATTCCCCAAACTGTCTGATCGCACTCCACCTAAGAGGGAGCCCACCAAATCTACACTGAATGTATTCCTAAAGCCAAAAGAAATTTTCCAGCCCTTTCATGTTATTTACTGTGAAACACAAAAAAACGCAAGAACAATCCCTCCGTTTGTCGTTTCAAAATGCCTCACCAGTACCCTTGGTCCAGGGTATCATACCCTGTACTGGGGGGACTTATACTCAAAGTAAACGAAAACATATCGTTTAGTGAGGCGCGCACGCGTCTATCTTTCCAGGGTCCTTCATTCGCGGAGCTGGCAAGAAAGGGGGCAGTGCCACCTAAATCCGCAGCGCCCGCACGTACCAAACAAAGTGGACTGGTGGCAGTGCCCTTCGCCCCCTCAGAGAAAGTAGCCCAGGCTCTTCCACCACCAGAAGGTTTGCAGGCCTTTGGACCTGAAGGACCAGGGTCTTCTGTTTTGGCAGATAGCCCTAAGACTTCCGTGTTCGCACGCGTGAACCGCGAGCGGGCATACAGCATCTCGTGTGAGGTGCTGGACGTGATGGACACAACAGCAAGTCCAACCGTGTCTTTAGCGCCGAAGGACAGGCGCAGCTTTTCGGAGCGCGCGAGAAAGTCAAAAACCATCATCACGGGGCCTGACAAGGGCTCCTGACTTAATTCAATAGTTAATTAAGTACACACAACACTCATTTACACTCATAATGGATACACAAATTACACATTGGAACGTCAGAGGACTGTTCAGAACCTCGACGATATCCAGGAACTCTTACACAAACATTCACCAAAGTGCTGTGTGTACAAGAGACACACTTAAATTCCAAGAACACTAATTCTTACGTCGTTAATGTAACATTCAGAAAGGATCGCGATGACGCTGTAACGTCATCTGGTGGGGTGGCCATTATAATTGGTCAAGATGTTGGTTGCATGTACACATTTACCACTACAATCATCCCTTGAGTCAGTGGCTGGTTGAGCAGTTCTTTTGAACAAACTCGTCACCATCTGCCCTCTTTACATACCTCCACTGTACCGTTTTGAAAAACAAGAATTTCAGTCCTTGATAGATGAACTACCTGAGCCTTATGTGGTCCTTGGAGGCTTTAATGCACATAGTAGTTTATGGAGTGATTCTCGCTGCGATGCACGAGGTCGTCTAATCGAACAATTTCTTTTCTAATCCAGTGCTTGTCTTTTGAATCAGAAGCAACCTACATATTAGCCTAGCCAACAACACTTACTCGTCCATAGATCTCAGCATTTCATCCACTTCACTCCGACCCCTACTCAAATGGAAAGTCATTATAATCCTTACGGAAGAGGTCACTTTCCGATAAACCTGAGCAGACCAGCAGATAATGCATGTCCTCCACATATATCCAGATGGCAGATTGACAAGGTGGACTGGAAAGAGTTTCGAAAAGATATATATATATATATATATTATATATATATATATATATATATATATATATATATATATATATATATATATATATTATATATATATATATTATATAATATATATATATATATATATACCTGTTCAAGTTGGTCCAGCATACGTGGCTTAAGCGTGGATGCAGCTCTTGACTTATTTATCGCTTTTCTAG